GATTCTCACAAAATACACCATCTCGTCATAAAGAAAAATATTTTAAAAATAGTTCTTGAAAAACCCCCATTTACTGGAATCACGTTTTTATAGAGTAGGGATGCCCAAATTATCACATATGTGTCGCGGGCGACTGCGCGTGCAAAGCTTTGCACAGCGGTGATGGTCAAGCGCGGAAGCAAAAAGTAATCGGAAGGGGAAAACGAAGTCAACAGAATAGTGAGATTGTATGTGTGACNACTGGAATCACGTTTTTATAGAGTAGGGATGCCCAAATTATCACATATGTGTCGCGGGCGACTGCGCGTGCAAAGCTTTGCACAGCGGTGATGGTCAAGCGCGGAAGCAAAAAGTAATCGGAAGGGGAAAACGAAGTCAACAGAATAGTGAGATTGTATGTGTGACAGTGATGGAAAATGAGTGTGCATTGTGCCATTTTCGGCCCTTTCGGAAGCAGCCGGCACCTTCAGCACAATCGATTGATTTTCGGCACTATTTTTGCGTAACTCAATGCAACTAATAAATATTTCTTTCGGATCCGCAATTAAAATTTTTTTTTTTACATTTAATCGTATGTGCTTAAACTGATAAATGATATAAACATAGAAACGCAAGCAAAAGAATCTCGCTTCCACAATCTGCATATGCGCTTAACATTTTTGTTTAAACAAATGTGTCGAAATTTAATCTCTAAAGCAAATATTAAATATCATTTAATATATACTTTAGATTTAAATAATCATTTTTAGTGGTGGGCGAGTCCGAGATGTTTAAATGATCGAGATAGTACATTCAATTCGCGTAGATTTTTGAGAACTTTTTTCGTTGAAGGTGTTGCACTTTTTTTCCATACTGAAATTTGTGTACATCATTTATCATTGTCTAAGAAAAACTATAAAATAAAGCTTAATTTAAAATATTGGAATAAAAAACAACAACGCTACACGCGCATTCATCCATATAACATAAAATGCGAACGTTCGTTATATGGAAGAAAGTGCGCAACACCGCAAACAGAAAAATTCAAAAAATCAATGGTATTTTCTAGACACTTCAAACTTGCACCTTATTATACTAGAATGAATGGGCTACAAAATTGTTAACCCAAAACATGTCCTAAAATTCTGAACAAAAATTGTGAAAATTTGATGAAACTTTGTTGATTTTTTTCATGCTTTCAAGTTTCGATTTATTTGCATGGTTTTTGTTTGATAATGAGCTACAATTTTATAAAAAAAAAATAATTAAAATTATTTAAAAAAATAAAATAAATACCGGGTGACCGTGTAATTTTGTCAAAGATGAAGACAATGATGATAAAGCATTAATACACTATATAGGTACGGTGACCATAAATATGGATTCAAAATGAAGGACAATTTTTCAAAAATATGCCTACATATATTTACGTAGTATAAAAATATCAAAAGAGTATTTATGATTCTAAATTCTTAATACATTTTAAACTTTAAAAATGAATCACGTTTTCTTCATTGATATTAATCTTTTTTTACATGAATATTTATAAAAGTATAGTAAAACATATTATAATTACAATAGCTTACACAAGAAGTGGAAATCTTTGAAAGATTATTTTATAGGCAAATTTTGAGTCGATCAAAACGAAAACAATACGAAAAATGACACCGAAGATGGCACAACGCCGAAACCGGTTTGTATCCAAACCAAATTTGACAAGGGATGACGGAAAATCGTTCCACAATACATCATACTCCTACCCTGTCGGAAACACAAACAACTAAAAAGAAAACAATACCCTTCTTTTTTTGTTTTTTTGGTAATTTTCGCAGTTATTTGTCAAAAATCGACGTCATGAATCGACGTAAACGACGAGTTACAAAGTGCCCTTTACAAAAATATATAATTTGTGCAGATTGCGCTCCATAGCATCTACATTTCTAATCCGATTTTCATTATCTTTGGCTCAAAGTTTACTGTAATAATATATCTTCTTTATCGAATTTTTTAAATAATGAAAAAAATAATCAAATGAAACTGCGTATTTGATTGAAAATCTCAGTTTTTTCGCCTGTAGCACTAATAATTTTCATTGAAGTCGCCACAAGGTATATATTTTGGTAAGAGGCACATCAATACCTTTCGAGCTGTAAGTCGCACACGTTAATTTGGAGATTTTTTCATGAGATATTGAAGAAAAGCTACGAAAAGTACCAAAAAACACTTTTTTGAAAAAATCCATCCATTGTCCGATAATTTTAAAATAACGAATAAAATGCGGGACAAATGCAGGACACTTGGATAAAATCAGTACATTTTCAGGTTTTTCAGGTTTGAAAAACTACGCAGGACCGACCTTTGAAAAACAATACGGTCCTGCAAAAAACAGAACGGATGGTCTCCGTATATATAGGTCAGTTCATATTAATGAACATAAAATGAGATCACTATCGATAAAATGGAAATCCTCAAGGGAAATTTATAATTTCAACNCCTAGCACGCTCGCGTGCGCGCAGTTTGCCCGCGACGTCGACTGCGTGCACCTCTGCTGTGGATCCCTATTATAGAGAATTAAACAGGGAATACGGTGGTATAATTTTAAATCCCTAATTTACTGGTCTTCACTATGAAAATCACTTCAAAAAGTTCAACTGTTAATAGCGAAGTTAGCTTTAGGACAATCTTNATTTTACTTTCAACCCCCGTATTGCCCAATTACTTCTATTCCTGCAGAATCGCTATTAGGTAAATTCATTTCCAAAGATGTAAACGGATTAAGAATCAAAGTGTTAGAAGAGATTTGAGCGTTTGGTACAAAAAGTATTTTTGATGTTGAAATTGTACTTAAAATCGGCAAATGGTACTTTTGTACATTTTAAAAATAATTGTACTGAAAAAAGTACAATTGTACTTAAAATATGAACACTGTTTCACTGGCGCTGTACTTGCTGCAGCGATGCCAGATTTGAGCNAAAGTCTCTATGATGAGCAGAACCCGAGACATAACGATTTGAAGAAGTACATGATTAGTCAGAATCACGAAGAAAAGCAAACTTTGACAGATCATATCTCCAAAGAAAAAAGCGAAAAAAAAATTCCTCGAGACGTGTTAGCTTATTTCATGTATAGAACCCATAAAAAAAATTTGGAGCCAATTGAAAGTGTGACACCAAATTTGGCGNTAAATTTTTTACCGATAATAAGTCATGCGAGGGATTTGGGTATTGGGCATTTTACAAGCCTATTAGGAAGTATACATATCTGTGTTCGTATAGAATAGTAGCTTATGTCGGAAGACTGGCTTNATGGTATAATTTTAAATCCCTAATTTACTGGTCTTCACTATGAAAATTACTTCAAAAAGTTCAACTGTTAATAGCGAAGTTAGCTTTAGGACAATCTTGACCATCTTATATATAGAAATGTTAAGCCCGTTTCTTTAGCTTTAAAGCGACGTTAAGATAAAGTCTCTATGATGAGCAGAACCCGAGACATAACGATTTGAAGAAGTACATGATTAGTCAGAATCACGAAGAAAAGCAAACTTTGACAGATCATATCTCCAAAGAAAAAAGCGAAAAAAAAANGCTGCCTCCCGACATAAGCTACAATTTCATACGAACACAAATATATCCGTCTACAAATAATGTTGATTATTTTAATTAAGTCCTAAGATAAGTTTGTGAATCTTATCAGTGTTCTATGTAAGAACCAAAAATCAATACCCTCGCCAATTAGAACTTTTGCTTTAAAAGAAAAATATACATAACGNTTTGGCGCCCGATATGAAAAAGAATGTCTCATATACTGCAGCTAAGGATGAAGAGAAAAGGCAAGTGAGAAAAAAACTACAAGAGTGATTGATACCAATATTGAGCGCAAGTGCTAAGATCAGGTGGCACAATGTACTAAAAATTAAAGGAATACTAAGCTTCTTTTTGGTTGTTGTCTCCAAACCAAATTTGACAAGGGATGACGGAAAATCGTTCCACATACATCAGAATATTAAGCTGTTATAAAGATAGCTTTTAACTACCACGCAGGGCAGTGCACATAAGTATGATGTAAATGAATTTCTTCTAGTTAGGTTCCAGCTGCTGCTCCGAACAAGGGTCTTGTGTTAAAAATATATTGTGTTTACAATTACATCCATAATTTCTGTGGTCATAAACAATAATCGCCTAAGTCGAAAAACCTGAATTCGGAAAAAACGCTTTAAAGATTTGGATTGTAATGTTAGCCTTATGGGGAAACCAAAATATTTTCATCTATAATTTTTTAAATAGCCTCGGTAATGAGATGGGAGTTTTTCACATACACATGGAATAGTAGTTGCAGAAAACGATAGCATATATAACTCAATTCTTTCTTAAGTCGACTTAGGCGGTTATTGCTTATGACCAGAGATTTTTAGTTATGTTTGTGTGAAATAAAATTATTTAAAAAAAAATATTGTTTTACGATTTCTTTTATATAAATATGTGTGTTTCACCTTTAGCACTTTCTCACATGTGACAATGAGAGTCGATGTAAAAAAAGAAATATGTATGTCAAGCAGTTTCTTCAATGTTAATCTATGAGAATTTAAGTGAATGATGGTTTTATTAATTTACTTAATGTTACGGATCCTCAATATCGTCTGCTTTATATACATACCTTTTTAAGATTAAATACCTTTGCATTCCAATATCGTCTGTGAAGTCAGAGGGAGTTTCAAGTACCTTCATTAATTATTAATAATCGCCGAACTCTGGACAAGCATTTTTGCAGAAAAATGTTAATACAAACAAATAAAAATGTACAGGATATAGTACATTTACCTTAATAAAGCTAAACTCTTTTATTATAAATATATTTTTTTTTTATAAAATTAAATATGGCCGTTAGTATCTATATATCGATGGGGTTCATCAATACTATCGGCGAATATCGATAGTCACTACAATGCATAGTTTTCCACCTATAAGCTTACCACTTGATTTAAACTCTCGTTAAAAATTGTATGCTCTTTAATAAATTACTGATATATATGTATGTTGAAAATTATTTCATTGCAGTACTTTGGAAGCCGATCGACCACCTCTTAAATTTTACTCTTAAAATGAGTTTACCTCTTGATTTAAAATCGCTTTGCAAATTCGATACTAGTGCAAACTTCGTTCTTGGTTTGTTGCAACATGTGGATAAGGTTTGCACTCAGGCTCTTGAAGACGGCATTAATTTATGGCGCCTACTTATCAATGAGAGAGCTAATTTGACAAGGTTAATATATGTACATAAATATACGTCTTATAATTAAAATCATGTCTTTTTTTACAGAGATGCAAGTCGACTTATAGTTCGAAAAATTACAAGTGAAGTTGTCCACAAAGGCGCTGATTATTATCCATTTGTTAATAGGACTGAGTTTCAAATAGAATTAACTAATATTCACACTTTGTCATTCAGGGATATAATATTTCCTCCATTGCATGCCTTTTGTGAGGAATTGCAAGTATTACCAAGTGGTATAGATTTTCTTAAAGTATTTCTTAAATCGCCATCCACTTACTTGCGATCATGAATGAAAAAGTAATAAAAAAAATTAAATTTGTTTACATAATTCTTTGCAAATATAAATTAGCGAAAACTAAATAAAAAAGATCCCCGATTTTACCACAAATTTGTTTTACAAACGCAATAACGTGCACATGGGCGTATCCAGAACGAAATTTATTATTTTTTATACAAATATTTATATAATTAACTTTTTCAGTAGTGTTTTTGAGCTTTGTACCACGATTTGTTTGTTAGGAAAAATGGGAAAACAACAAAGGGTCCAACCCTAAATGTAAAAATGCAAAGCATCAGTCTCTTTTATTTCTAAACCTCTGTATATTTTGTTGCCAAATGTGCGAAACCACGGTTAGATGCTAGTTTGCATCTAGGTTGCACAAGTTAGACCTTTTGTTCTAGTGCGCTTTACAAATAAAAGAGACTGATGCTTTGCATTTTTACATTTAGGATTTCACCCTATGTCTACGCGGTAGAAGTTGTAGCTGCTATTTCAGAGATCACCACATCTCCTCATCAGGCTTCTTTTTTGTTGACTTCATCAGGGATCGAACCCGCGTCATCGATGTGCAAAGTCAGAAGCGCTAACCACTAAGCTATGCACAACCCGTAAACTCTTGTTGCTAATCCATTTCCTTATTCAACCTACCACTATCAAGTGTCTCTGATTCGCCGGTATTTAAGCTGGACAGCGTGGTTGTTTTAGTTAATTCCATACATAAAACAGATCATTCATTATATAGTTTTAGGCAGGCTCATCCCAAACTATATATTTGTAAAATTTAAGTTTGCAATACGATTTGTTTGTTAGGTAAAATTTAAAAATAACAAAGTCTTAGCGGTAGAAATTATAGCTGCTATTTCGGAGATCACCACATCTCCTCATCAGCCTTTTTTTATAGACTTCAGCAGGGATCGAACCTGCGTAATCGATGTTCAAAGTCAGAAGCGTTAACCACTGAGCCATGTACATCCCGTAAACTCTTGTTGCTAATTCATTTTCCTTATTCAACCTACTTCTATCAAGTACAGCTGATTTGCCGCTATTTAACCTCGACACCGTGGTTGGTTTTGTCAATTCTATACATCCATTTGCTTATTTGCTTTTTTGTATAGTTTCAGGCAGGCTCTTCCTAAACTATGTATTTGTCAATGTTATTGTGGCTTGTTAACATTTTATTTTTAATATTTTTATTGAGCTTTGTACCACGATTGTTTATTAGGAAAAATTGAAAAAGCAACAAAGTCTAAGCGGTAGAAGTTATAGCACTATTTCGGAGATCACCACATCTCCTCATCAGACTTTTTTTTTCTAGACTTCAGCAGGGATCGAACCTGCGAATTCGATGTTCAAAGTCAGAAGCGTTAACCACTGAGCTATGTACATCCCGTAAACTCTTGTTGCTAATTCATTTTCCTTATTCAACCAACTACTATCAAGTGCAGCTGATTTGCCGCTATTTAAACTCGACAGCGTGGTTGTTGTAGTTGTTGTTGTCAATTCTATAATCCATTTGCTTTTTTGTATAGTTTCAGGCAGGCTCTACCTAAACTATGTATTTGTCAATGTTATTGTGGCTTGTTAACATTTTATTTTTAATATTTTTATTGAGCTTTGTACCACGATTGTTTATTAGGAAAAATTGAAAAAGCAACAAAGTCTAAGCGGTAGAAGTTATAGCACTATTTCGGAGATCACCACATCTCCTCATCAGACTTCTTTTTTCTAGACTTCAGCAGGGATCGAACCTGCGTAATCGATGTCCAAAGTCAGAAGCGTTAACCACTGAGCTATGCACTCCCCGTAAACTCTTGTTGCTAATTCATTTTACTTATTCAACCAACTACTATCAAGTGCAGCTGATTTGGCGCTATTTAAACTCGACAGCGTAGTTGTTGTTGTCAATTCTATAATCCATTTGCTTTTTTGTATAGTTTCAGGCAGGCTCTACCTAAACTATGTATTTGTCAATGTTATTGTGGCTTATTAACATTTTATTTTTAATATTTTTTATTGAGCTTTATACCACGATTGTTTATTAGGAAAAATTTAAAAAGCAACAAAGTCTAAGCGGTCGCTTATAACTATGAGCTGCCTTCTTATAACTATATGCACCGACCCTCAGGCACAAACGCTTTTAAGAGGGGGCCTACATCGTCAAAGGGTGCCTTCCCAAAACAAAAAAAAATTGTATAATATAGAAACCAGTAGTCCTGAAGAAGGACATGATTCTTCAAGTTACTGTGACGGTACAGAGAACGATTCACAGCAGGTAAATTTTTTTGACGACCGGGCCACCAGCTTATTTCATATGAGGAGTAGTGCCTCATATTCAAGCATACCTTACCTGACGTGCCTGACCAACAGCAGTACTGCCTTAAACTTTCTTATAGATACAGGGGCAAATAAAAATTTCATAAAGCCTACTCTAGCTGCTCGTTCAATATTAGTCGATCCACCTTTCTCGGTGCAGACGGTGTCAGGACCAATAGTAATAAAAAGGAAAATTTGTGGAAAATTTTTCCTTAATGTAGGGAACGACACCAAGACAACTTTTTACCAGGACTCCAATCTTTTGACGGCATTATAGGAGATGGTACGCTAAAGGCACTCGGTGCGGTGATAGATAGGAAAAACCATATTCTCACAATCGAGCCGAACATTAAAATTCCACCGAGAAACAAAACAGTTGGAAGCATTAATTTTTCTGCTGCAAATGAAATTCTTAAGGCAGTAGTTCCTTTTTTAAAGTCTCTTGTAGAAAAGTACTCTCATTTGTTCGGGCCACTGAATATAAAAACAAACATCAAAACCTCCGTTCGGGCTGAGATAAAATCCACCACAGATGAGCCCATATACACAAAAAGTTATCCATATCCCGCCAACATGAGGAAAGAGGTAGAGAAGCAGGTTACCGAATTGCTCGAGAAAGGCATCATACGGCCATCTAAAAGTTCGTATAATTCTCCCATTTGGGTAGTTCCGAAAAAACGTAAGCCCTCCGGTGAAAAGCAGTATAGAATGGTTGTAGATTTCAAACGTTTGAATGCGGTTACCGTATCAGACGCTTATCCGATTCCGGATATTAACGCAACACTGGCCAGTCTAGGGATCGCTAAATATTTCACGACGATTGATCTTACCTCAGGCTTTCATCAAATTGCGATGAAGGATTCAGATATACCCAAAACCGCGTTTTCAACCAGGAATGGAAAATACGAATTTCTGAGACTACCTTTTTGATTGAAAAATGTGCTGGCTATATTCCAACGCATGATTGATGATGTCCTTAAGGAATATATTGGGAGGATATGCTATGTGTATATTGATGATATTATTGTCTTTGGAAAAAATACTGATGAGCATATAAAAACTTAGAAATAGTATTTGAAACGCTCGAGAACGCTAATTTGAGAGTGAATTTGGAAAAAACTTAATTTATGGGAACGGAAGTAGAATTTCTGGGTTATGTGATCACGTCTGATGGGATGAAACCAGATCCTTCGAAGGTGCAGGCAATAGAGAACTTTTCGGCCCCAGAAACACTAAAAGAACTGAAAAGTTTTTTGGGAATGACGTCGTACTACCGAAAGTTAATTCGAGATTACGCGAAAGTTGCAAAACTGTTAACCAGTCTCACGCGGGGGGAAAACGCGCAAGTTAAGGCCAACCAATCGAGAAGAATACGCATTAGTCTGAACCGTGAAGCCCTTCAAGCTTTCGATAATTTAAAAAAACTACTAGTTTCCTCAGATATTCTTGCTTTCCGAGATTTCGAAAAACCATTTAACCTTACTACCGACGCTTCAAACTATGCCATTGGTGGGGTGCTGTCTCAAGGAGAACCAGGAAAAGATCGGCCCATCGCGTACACTTCAAGATCTTTAACTAGAACGGAGGAAAACTACGCCACAAACGAGAAAGAAATGTTGGCAATAGTTTGGGCTCTAGATAATTTGAGATCTTACCTCTATGGGGCGAAAAAATTTGAATTTTCACTGATCACCAGCCTCTCACGTTTGCGTTGGGAAGTAGGAACTACAACGCAAAGTTGAAGAGGTGGAAGGCGAGAATAGAAGAGTATAACCACGAATTGATTTACACTCCTGGTAAATAAATGTTGTGGCAGACGCTCTTTCGAGAATTCCATGCCAGGCAAACCATTTAACAGCATCGTTGGGGCCTAACGATTTATCAACAGAAGCTAGAAGCGAAGAGGGGACAGTTCACCGTGCGGACCGGGATGCGTCAGACCTTATTCCACATGTAGAAAAATTCCAGAGAATCATTTACAGCTTCTGCAAGAAGTGTATCTGGAACATTTTCTTTTGTACAAAATCAGGATAACGCAGAGGGTGGTCGAAGATGTTGCCAACGAAGGTAGAATTTGTAGAATAATAGAGGACGAAAATAGGATTGCTCATAGGAACTCGAGGAAAAATAAAGAGCAAATCCTAGAAAAATACTATCTTCCCAAAATGGCGAGCCGGATAAGAAAATTCACCATCATTTGTGAAACCTGCCTCGCAAACAAATATGATAGACATCCTCCAGTACCGCCGATGAAAGACACTCCGGTGGCAAAATACCCATGCGAAATTGTGCATGTGGACATCTTCGAAATTCAAGGAGAAAAATTTTTATCCTGCATAGATAAATTTTCCAAATTTGCAAAACTTTTCCACATAAAAAACCGAGCATCCGTCACTATTCGCGCCAAGCTAGCTAAACTAGTCTATTCTTTACAACTCCTAAAATTATAGTAACCGATAACGAGAGGGGATTCATGACTCCTTTGCTATGTAACTATATAAGAGGTCTGGGGATTGAACTATACCAGACTCCAGTTCAAAGAAGTGAGGTAAATGGTCAGGTTGAAAAATTCCACTCTACCATTATTGAGATCTATCGATGCATTCAAAAAGAGATTAATAACGTTAGACGAAAAGAATTGGTGGTAGGAAGGTCCATAAGGCACAAATTAAAACTACTTCCAAGTAAAAAAAAAGAAAACAAAAACAGGAGCAAACAACAAATTAAGTCAAACGCACGACACAAAAAAAAAACAAAAAAAATATTTTTCCGAATGTCGGAAGCCAAAATAATAAAA